GCACCGTGTAGCACCACACACCGTGGAGCACCACGCACCGTGGAGCAGAACTATAAAGTTATAGAGCACCACGCACCGTGGAGCACCACGCACCGTGTAGCACCACACACCGTGGAGCACCACGCACCGTGGAGCAGAACTATAAAGTGGAGCACCACGCACCGTGGAGCACAATGGAGCAGAACTATAAAGTGGAGAACCACGCACCGTGGAGCACCACGCATCATAGAGCAGAACCATAAAGTGGAACAGCAAGCACCGTGGAGCACCACACACTGTGGAGCACCACGCACCATGGAGCAGAACTATAAAGTGGAGCACCACGCACCGTGGAGCAGAACTACACCGTGGAGCGCCACGCACCGCGGAGCAGAACTATAAAGTGGAGCACCGCGCACCATGGAGAACCGTGGAGCAGCACGCACCGTGGAGCACCACGCACCATGGAGCACCACGCACCATGGAGCAGCACGCACCGTGGAGCAGAACCAGAAGGGGGCGCTGCAGAGGGTGAGGGCGGAGGAGCTGAGGTCCCCGGTGACCCACGAGGCCCACACGCGGTCCTCCTGCGCCCACCCGCACCCCAGCAGGTAGTGGCCCGAGCTGTGCACACCTCACAGCAATACACTTCAAGAATTAATTATTAAACTCTTTACATTTTAAAATAAGTTAATAATATATAAATACAAAATAACAATGATTTTCTGTATAGAACGAAAATTAATTATTAGACTCCTTACGTTTAAAATTAGTTAATAATAAATAAAACACGAATAACGATAATTTTCTGTAGAGAACGAGAAATTACATAGCATTGGTTCCATCGTGCATTAATAATAAGCGCAAGAAATTCGACATGATACAAGAGTGACAATCACGCGAAAAAAAAATTTTGCGTGAAATTTCAGCGGCACATTAAGCAGACCGCACTCAAGGCACCGATAAATATCATGATACATCACACACACAGGGAAATGAGTGGTACTTTGCCAAAATGCGCATTTTGCATTTTTGGTACTTCGCAAAATGCATTTTTAACGCATTTTTTCATTTATGGAAAAAATGCACTATTGTGCTCGCCATGTCCGTCTGTCTGTCCGTCTATCCGTCCGTCCGTGACTTCACGTTTTCGTCGACGAGAAAATTCGCTCTCTGGCACTCACTGCAGTGAGTACCGAGTTATATATTTTTACTCCTGTGTGGGTTATTTTGACACAGTTTGGCCAAGCAAAAGGGAGTATTAGTGCTACGTCCGCTCTCCTCTCGCGCTGTGAAAAAGAAAGTGTGTTACTATTTGGATCATATGGCCCATTTACTTTTCTGAGTTCACGGACACAGGATATCACAAACTGTTAATTAAATAAGGTAATGAATTAATTAAATACGGTAATTATTTAGTCAACGGGATCCAGGAAGGGTTTGAAATCAGCGCATTGGATGTACAGTCACATTGCCTTGGTCGATATTTTGGATAGATGAATTTGGAACAACTATCAATTAATGAATTAACAATTGTCAGAAATAATGACAGCTAAATAAATTCTGACCTCCTGAAGGAGGGCGGCGGCAGGAGCCTGTAGCGAGTGGGCGGCAAGTGGACGGACGAGAGGTCGTACAGCCACAGCAGCACCTCTGGCAGCTCCGTCCCCACCTTTTTGTTAATATAATTATTAATATGATTTAATTGTTATATAATTTATAATATATAATTGTTAATATAATTTAATAATATTAAATATTCATATAATATAACAATAAATGTATTAACGAGCCGTTTTTAAACGTCCATACGAGAGCGAACAGATTTAACATTATCATAAATGGATTTTTTAGCAAATATATATTTACTAAATTTTTTAGTCACACGATGTTGGAATTTTCTATACCGGGCTTAAATTCAAACGTTAATACAGATAATAGTTTTATTGAAACAACCTAAAACATGATGCAGCGAAAGAACCAGTTCTTGTAATTATAAATTCAATTTCCTAATTTTTCCATCGCATGCACGATAAGAAACAATATAAATAATAAATAAACTTAAACTAATATTGAAACCAATCAATAGAATTTAAAAATGAAGTACTTAAGCAACGAACTGTGGGATATCTGAGGGTATGAAGGTGAGGGAAGCCGCCCTCATACCGCAGCACCGGCAGCGTCCGCACGCGGGAGTCGTCAAAGGCCCCCACCAGGAGCGAGGCGCCCTCGGGGCTCGGCCAGACCGCAGTGCCCTCCTCCAGGAGCTCTGCACGTAAGAAATCGAGAGTGAAGTCTTTTAAAATAATAATAAAAATTAAACGCATGTCCACACATTTTAAATGATTTAATTTTCAGATTTGTTCTTTAAATGGGATATTCTTTACTTTCATTCTTATTTTTCTGTTAATATGGTTCAATCATGTTGCTTGTTCGAATTCATAGAATATCAGCAGCTTGAAACTCAGTTGAAGAAAATTCGTAATCAGCCGCGCAGAAATTTAATCAGAGGCAAAGTTATTAAAACTTGTAACGACAAAAAAAGTGTTGCTATGTCAAATGTTATACTGATATTTCAAGTGCTACGGTATAAATTTAAAATGCCGTCGTTATTGACAATATAAATAATTACAGCAACAATTTGAAATAACTTCGTTATTGAAAATGTAAATGACAACATAAGAAATCTGAACTAATTTTCTTATTGAAAATTTAAATGTCAAAAACAGGAATTGGAAATACCTTCGTACAGCAGATCAGGCTGTCCGTAGGTGAGGACACCGAGGCTAGCATCTGGGGTGAGGTTGACGGGTGCGGCGGAAGGGTTCGCAAGGAACAACAAGGAGCCGTTGTACACCACTACTAGCGACCTGCCGATGTCTTCCTGCAACAAAACCTGCTGTTATTTAGGTAACTTGATTGATTTTGCTAAATTGGATAAAAAATAATTTGATCTAATTCCTGTATACTCGGGATGTAGCGCCACACTGCAAGCTCGGTGTTGCACGTTTTCGTCCCACACTGACGCTGAAAATTAGGATAATTTTGACCTTTACCTCTTAAATTCGCGTGGAGACAATAAACTAGGCTCCGACGTAACATCAAATATACAATACAAGTTTTGAGTTAGAAACATTGAATAATAATGTAAGAATAACAGTTACTGTTGCCATTTCTCAAGTTCAGTTCCAATAACAGTACAAGGACATGAGCTGGCCATTTTAATGTCGCATTACATAGTGAACTTTTACGCCTGTCACACAGCTAAAAATCTATGTAGAAATCAGTGACTAAGAATAGATCTCAGTTGAGTTAACTTGAGTATCGGCGTATCGCAACTGACGAAAGTGACAATACATTCGGATTTCCCGATAAATTTATACAGAAGGATATTTATTGTACTTGTTATCGTCTCGCCCGAGCGGATTTAGATCAATTCAAAATCCAGAGACAAAACTCATGGTTGAAATTTCAACCATGGACAAAACTTATCAGTTTCCCGGTTTAAAGTTTATAGTATTAGGCCAAACGGAAACCATAGAATCTCGACCGCTAGGGACTTGTAGCATTTAATTTCCATCATTACTTCAATAGTGTACTAATCAAGCAAAGTTTATTTGGTTTAAACTAAAAGAAATTTATAATATTAAAAAGTACGACTAGATATTTCAAAATTAAACTTTGACAATTGTATTGCAATAGTTGCTTAGTTCGACTCAGCCGTTTACGTATAGTTCTGCAATTCTCTGATTTGAACTACAATTTCCGAATCTGCTATCGTAAGACCACCAATCAAATAATATATCGTTTAAATGAATATTCTTTTCCTTAAATCTACGCTCAATAACACTGAACTAAGTGAACTTGCCCGTATTACCACCACTTTCCCTATACATTGGTCACTTACCGTGCTGTTTTGCGTAAGCCCAAGAGCGCGTGGCACCCACTGCGCGTGCTGGAGGCGCACTGGCACAGATGGGGTGGACGCGAGCCCGTCTGGCAGCGTCAAGGGGTAGTAGTGACTGGCGTGCGGGAAGAAGTAGGATTAATTTTTAAGATACAATTTTAAAGGTAGAAGTCATGGTATATTTGTACGAGTGGTTTGGCTGAAAGATTCAGGACACCAAGATAAGAATAGCGAATTGAGGGTTCGAGAGATGTAGTTAGCAGTGAAAATTCTCTTCAAATCGGCAAGATGGCCGGGACCGGCGACAGGCTAACATTATTTAATCAAATCTGACATTGACATATTATTCTAATTTATTATTAGTTGAGGGAGTTAACTTGAGTTTTTCCCAAGTAGACTGCCTGGAACTACCAAGTTAGAGAGTAGGAGTAGATGAAGGCAGGAGTAGATGAGGGCAGGAGTAGATGAAGGCAGCAGTAGATGAGGGCAGGAGTAGATGAAGGCAGTAGTAGATGAGGGCAGTTGCAGGACTCACCGCGTGTAGACATCGTAGATGCTGTACAGCGCAGAGATCAAATTCCGACGTCCCTGCAAAAAAAAAAAAAAAGAAAATTAAAAAAAATCACGTTTCTCGACCGTTCATTTGTTTTTTCCTCTCGACCAAGTACGCAGTAAGCCAATCCTTCTCACATGCAAATATGGCCGCGATGTGGCCACCAAACGTGATATCTTTAACCATCAATAATCGAAATCGGGAATAAGTCGCTTCTTCTTAATTTCTTTGCCGTCCGATTCCAAGTAGCGGTGCTTCATCCGGGCCTCGGTTCCAACTCTGTATCTCATTACTTGCAACTTTGTGCCGTTGCATTGCACAATATTCAGTAATTCATTGCACAATATTCAATTCAGTTCAGTAAATTCGACAATCACTAGATTGTCGGCAAGCATTGTGTAACCCAGAGCAGGCCAGGCAGGTATTCTGTAATCCTCAATAGTACTTTTGTTGTGCGCAAATGACAATGCCGACGCATGGAACAGTTCCGAAGCTATTAATTTCAGCTAACTGCATACACAATTCATCATTATACACGTTCCTACCCTTCATTACCACACGCACCACTCTCGGCCATTGCACATGCCACTCACCATAACCATTACATGCCACTGTTCAGTATACAATGCACATGAGACATACCATAACCACTGCACTCGAAACTCACCATCGCTGAGCACGTCACTCACCGTCGCTGAGCACGTCACTCACCATCACTGAGCACGTCACTCACCATCACTAAGCACGTCACTCACCATCAATAAGCACGCCACTCACCATCACGACGTCGTGACGAAGCAGTACGTAGCGGAGGTCGGGAGAGACGGAGAAACCATCAGCGGAAGTTTGCCTCTAGGAAACACGCAGAATTTATATTAATAATTACGAAAATTTAGAATTAAAATGCACCGTTCGCTGTACCGTGTGCAGTGGAACTACTTGGTATTTGCGGTGCATTTTTCAGAAACAAAACAACAGAATAGGAATTCAATACTTGAAATAAACCGAGTTTCTTTGTTAAATGTGAGATTTGGCTTGAAGTACTCGTTTATTCAGTTCCAGTATTATCAATTAAGGAATTATTATTTATTACGATAGTCGGACTACAAGATAACAAGATTACAATGGACGGAATTTTTAATTTCCATATCCAAGATCTGTCTGGAGTAAAACTGGGATTGACATTTGCGAGCATTAAAGGTGGCCAGGTAATCTGACAATGACTGGGCAATCATTTATAATGGCAAGGCAATTATTTACTAGGGCCAAGCATTCCATCACAATGGTAAAGACATCACTCATAATGGAAAGACAATAATTTTTACGATGGCCAGGTCTGTCACTCACGATGGCCAGGTCTGTCACTCACGATGGCCAGGTCTGTCACTCACGATGGCCAGGTCTGTCACTCACTATGGATGTCACTCACGATGGCCAGGTCTGTCACTCACGATGGCCAGGTCTGTCACTCACGATGGCCAGGTCTGTCACTCACGATGGCCAGGTCTGTCACTAGTGTGGAGTTGCTGCCGGTGCTGAGGTCTATTAGCCTCACTCCCGCCCCCTCCGACATGTACGCCAGTTTATCATCTGTTATTTGAATAAAAACCTCCATTCAGCGATTATTGTTAGGCCAAGTAACACCAAGAAATTCTAAAATATGTCTGGTAATATTAATAAATATCACTGAATACTAAGAAATATTAAATAATATCAAGTGAAGCGGGATACCCAAATCACCCACTCCTCAGTAACTTCGAAAATCTCTCATATAATGTTCAAAAAATCTGTTCTTATTGCAATCACAAGTGAAATAATTAACATCTGCAACACAATACCAGAATTTTATCAAATTTAGCCCCAAAACTAATCGGTAATCACATTAGACACTTTTTAACATGATCGTGAAACCAGGATAAGAGAATAACTAATATCGATTAGCTGAAAATTTAATCAATGGACTTGAACCATGAAACGGAATCACCATGTACTAATTTTTGTTAAGTTATGTTGGCGGTAACGACATGTGGGCAGTAATTTCCAGTATATTTTGACCCTCCAATAGGCTGACCAGCAAGCCACTGATACGCCATAGGTTTGGGCTTGAGTTTTGGGTCGAAGAGGTCAGCCATGACCATCCGGCGGCCGAAGAACGGCGGGGCTTGAGGGCCCATGAGCAGCGCGGCCATCAGCACGAGCAGGAGGACAGAGAATATGATGGACAGCGCGATGATGATGCTGGCCCAGTTGCGCGGTGCCGGGGCGTTGTCGTCCTGGGTGAAGAGACGGTGTTGACAGGAGGACGTGATGGTGTTTACAGGACGTGATGGAGTTGATAGGAGGACGTGATGGTGTTGACAGTAGGACGTAATGGTGTTGACAGGACGTGATGGTGTTGACAGTAGGACGTGATGGTGTTGACAGTAATAGGACGTGATGGTGTTGACAGTGGGACATGATGGTGTTGACAGGACGTTATGGTGTTGACAGTGGGACGTGATGGTGTTGACAGGACGTTATGGTGTTGACAGTAGGACGTGATGGTGTTGACAGGACGTAATGTTGATGTCGGGTTGATGTAACTCAGTATAACAAGATGATTTAATAAGTCTGATAAGAAGAGATAACACGGGTGGGAAGATGTAACAAGGTTGTGGGTGATGCGCAACAGCGTTAAAGATTCGACGCATCTAAGTTGACTATAAAGCGTAATGCGGTTGACAGGAAGACTCATTATGTTTGACAGGAGGATGTATCTAGGTGTATCTAGTATACATCTAGCTGCACACTCATGAAATCATTATTTTATATTTGATTAAAAGTTGTCGAATACAACAACGCCCGCGCGTTTTAGATTCCACTACAGCATTCACGCTAGTTAACAATATATGACAGGGGGGCATATACTTTCTAAATATGTAATAATCTAGGAATACTGAAAGTTTTGTCGCTGCGTCGTTCAAAGTGTTTTATAAAAGGGCAGAACTGCATTATATCGCACTTAGATCAATTTAAACTTAGATATTTTGAGGTCTGATCGTCTTGAGCGTCAGTGACGAATCATTTTTTATTGCTTGAAAGAAAAGTTCATAGGAGTGCTCTATTGGTGTATGTACAGTTATAAGATAACTGAATACAAGTACGCATAACGGGAATCTAATAAAATTTGTTTTACCCGAAGAATGTCGCTCAAAATTATATGGAATGATAATTTAATCAATACGCATAAATTTATTCCAAGATTTAGAGTGAGGAATTTGAAAGTTACTTTGAAATATGCGATTAATTTTGCTATTATTTTATATTTTTAACTCTTTCAAATATTATTCAATCCCATAAAATTGATATTAATCATGTAATTAGATGCAACTTCGTTATAGTCAGTACAAAATTCATTAGCATCGAATACACGAATGGGCTCAAAATTCATTACAATCGAATGCATGAATGAGCACAAAATTCCTTACAATCGAATACATGAATGAGCACAAAATTCATTAGAATCGAATATATGAATGAGCACAAAATTCATTACAATCGAATACATGAATGAGCACAAAATTCATTAGAATCGAATACATGAATGAGCACAAAATTCATTAGAATCGAATACATGAATGAGCACAAAATTCATTAGAATGGAATACATGAATGCTTGAGGAACTTGCCTTTTTGCAGCCAATAGGATCAACCACCTGCACCGTGGTGTCTGGAGCCACCTGCCATCTCCGCCCCATGGTGCAGCCAGCTTCGCTTGGGTGAAGTCTACTCCAAAAATTTTTTGTTTAGGCGGTTGTACGGTGCCAGGGTGGAATCATAAAGGCGGAGTGAGGGGATAGCAAGAAGTTGACATGCATCTTTAGATGAAATATATATAGATGGATGGAGGGAAATCAGTGGATAAAAAATTCAGAGAACATGCCGATGAGCTGAAGATTGAGGCTTTTTAAAAGAGTGTTTAGTTTAAACTAATGTTCTTGATATCTTCAACTAGTGATTTATATAGTGGAAAAAAGATGCACAAATGGCTGTAAATAGTTTTTACAGAAATTCAATCATCTTAAATGGTAATTCGGACTCAACGCAGGATTTTTGAAGCTGCGCTGAGGCTATAAATGAATCAAAAAATATATTATTTATATCTGTTACATATATCACAAAGAATGATTGAGATGGTAAGTATTGTGTACGGTTCAACGGACTACACTGATATGATATGGAAGGCGAAAAACTCTAAGATTGTGGGCAAAATTAAAAAGGTCGAATTAAATTACTAGGCAACAAATAGAAAATTAATTCAAAATGGGATTGTCGAGAGTTAAATGAGCTGCAAAGGTGAAAGTAGACTAGAAAAATGATAATGAAAAGAAATCTAGAAAGGAAACGTAAAGATATAGAAAAAGTAAAGGAGTTGGTAGAAATATCTGCCTAATCTACATCTGTGAAAGATGTAAAAAAACATTAAATTTTATGCAAACTGTCTAAACTATAAAGTTTATTTTATGAAACTGTTTTACGGTTCCTAATCAGAAATCTCATTGTTGAATCCCGTTATGCCAACTGTCATTGATTTACATTGATTAAAGAGTAAGAGATTCATTGCAGTGCGTTCTATGTGAACATCAATCAAGGGTTAATTTAAATGGCTACATTAGATGTCATTTATAGGTTATGCTTTATTTCGTTATTGTATTAGGATCATAAAGAATAGAACGCTGCAAAAACTAGCATGATTTCGATTTCTATTTTTTCAGCACCGATATAACATTTGCACAAACAAGCAACAAGATAAATCATACATTTGTTAAACGAATAATTTTGTTGGGCAATCATATAAAGTGAAAGATGATAAAATAAATAACTTAATAACTGATTCACGTGGGTAATGTATCGTTACATCTGACGGCAGCAGCTGCATCGATATAACCGTAACAACAGCACTTGCCAACTATTTTTTGCCACTCGGCCGTGAGCTTGCAATGCTGCTGCGATACATAAAAAGTAAACTGAGCAGCGATATACCGCAACAGATGCGACATGGTTCGAGTGAGAGCATGAAATTAAAACATATAGTACAGCAGCAAGTGATAACATAGAAGAATAACTCGGATGCAATGCAGTAAGAGATTGAAAATTGAATAACTCGCCTGCAGTGCAGCATTGAAGTGCAAAAAAAACGACGGTGCAAATGCAATGCAGCAGCCGAAGGTCACGATCCAAAGACGAAAAATATATAACTCAGTACTCACTGCCGTGAGTGACAGGGAGCGCATTTCCTCGTCGACGAAAACTTGAGGTCACGGACAGACGGACGGACAGACGGACAGACAGACAGACGGACATGGCGAGCACAATAGTGCATGTTTTCCATAAATGAGAAAATGCGCTAAAAATACCAACGTCAGCATATGTGTAAACGCTGCGCCGCAAGACGTGCTGAGCGACAGTACGTCGTTTGCCGCACGACACGCTGAATAATCTGTAAATGATGTGTGCATGACGTGCAGAACGATCAGTGAACGCTGCACTGCATGACGTGCAGAACGATCAGCTAACGCTGCACTGCATAACGATTCGTAAACGCTGTGCCGCGTGAAGCGCTCAACGACATTAAATGAGGAGTCGTATTCCGAGAACAACGATCTACAACCGATGTCCCTAATGACCTGATCATCCATCACGGAGTTTGCAGCAAAGTTCAAATTTGCCGACTTTACCGCTTCATCAGGTAGCCGATCTGTAGCTATAATGTGAAACAGCTCGTTAAGACCCCAGGACAGTGTACCAGTAAATTTCTGAGTGCAAATCCTAGGATAATCAATAAGGGAGTTTGCAATAAGATGACAATGACAACGATATGACGAAGCATCGAAAGTATCGCAAAATTTTAACTTATTGACCATCTCTTACCAAAGAGCTTCAGGTACGTCTCTTTTTTGAATAAACTACACTTACTCCTAGAAATTTCAAGAAAACTGCGGGGCATATGAGAGAAGAGTTCCGTAATTCAAACTGTGGCATTACCACATGCAATTATAAACTGCAGTAACAAGGCAGTTATTACATCGGGGCTCACCGGTTTCACTCCAATTGCCTAGCACCGCTTTAAAATCATCAAATAAACAGAAAAAAATGAAAATGGAGGTCAATTAATAAAACCAGACCGTTCGCAAAGCAAGATGTTCTGGAAAAGTTTGTGGCTCTTCGTTTTTGCTGCATACAATATTGTTATCTCAGACTAATAACAATTTTTGTTTTCCCCTGGACAAGCCATATTAAAAAAATATTGGGGGGATGGAACTGATAATTTCTAATTTTCCTCTAGTTCATTTTTTTCTAATTTTACTCTAGTTTATTTGTTTAATCACTACGCTGATAGAAATCGAGGAAATGTTCCTTTACTTCAGCTTCAATACAGCTGTGTTAACATTGAAAAGTTTTCTTTACAATTCTTTTTCGAATAAATGAGAATATTTTTCTGTTCTTACGTTCGAGTTGCACGCTCGAGGGTAAAAATTTCTCATTGACAATTCAAAATTTCAAAAATTTTCCTGCAGCGTTTTTTGCATGTACACTGCAGCCTTGCGCATTTAACTTCAGCACACTTGGTACTGACCTAAAGAACTCGCTACACTGACTTACAACACTCTTTGCACCACACTTTGTACTGCCATGCCGTACACTTTGCCCCCACACTGCAGCATTGTGCTCAAACTGGCAACCCACTTTCCACTTCCTTGCAGCACACTATGCACCACACTGCAGCGCAATATGCACCACACTGCAGCACAATATGCACCACACTGCACTATACACTCCTCTCAAAGCTCGTCACGCGGTGAGTATGCCAAGAATCAGCTAAGTGGTCGAAGAGTACGGAGGCGTGCTCAGCCAATAAAATCGACATTTAACGTAACGGCGTTATAATTTCGAATTATGTAAATTTTTAGTTCTTTACTCCACTGTAATTCTAGAAAATCATTTATTAAATCGTCTGCGATTCATTAAATAGTGTCATGGTACGCACATAATTCAAGTAATGATTATACAGGGTCCGTCATATTTATGGCAACGCATATTTTTTGTTATTTCTCAGGTGCTTTTCTCAAACAGGTGCATTGTTTTTTTTATTGGATGAGCTAGTAGCCAAGAATTACCTAAACAATTATCAGACATATTTATTCAATATGACCACCCTTATTTTTAATGACGGCCTCCAGTCTATGCGGGAAAGCTTCACAGGAGACGCGCAGCATTTCTTGAGGGATCAAGTACCATTCTCGTGTCAATTTAGACTTCAAACTATCCAAAGAATCATGAGGTGTTCTGCAGACCTACTCTCTAAAATAGCCCACACAGAAAAGTCGAGAGGATTCAAATCAGGGCTTCTTAAGGGCCATTCATTTTTGCTAATGAACGCTGCATGGGATGTGACCCTGAATCCAGTTTTGGGTCATGTTTGAGCCATGTGATGGGGCAGCGTCTTGTTGAAAACTCCATGGTGAGCCGTTGAAGTGCTTAAGGGCCCAAGGTAACAACACAGCTTCCAAAATGTCCGAAATGTATCGCTGACTGTTCAATTTCACTCCTGAGGGGACAAAAACGAGTGGGGACCTCCCAGTAGCGGTTACCGCGGCCCAAACTATCACGGACATGGGATTTTGACGTCGTGTTGCTGTTCTGGTTTCCAAAGATCCATCCCGACTCCAAACTCTGTCATTTTGACGGTTAACGCTTTGTTTAATGTCAATTTTTTTCTCGTCACTGAACACCAAGTTGGGCAGCGTGCCATCCTCACTGAGATCCAGAATGTGCTGGCATCTTTCGAGCCTCATTCGTTCATGACGGTCTACATGACGGTCTGTTAGTTCATGCCTTGTTTGCATCTTGTAAGGGGAGGTTTTGAGGTCATCTCTGAGGACTCTACGCATTGATGTCTGACTGACTCCTGCTTCTGCAGCTGAGCGACGAGGGTTTCTCAACTTCTCCCTCGTGTTTTCGACCAATTGTTTTGTTCGGACACTTTGTTTTCTACCTTGACCAGGTCGATTGCATGTTTCACCAGTTCCCTTGAATTTTTTAGCCACCTTCCACAGTTTCACGACGAATTTGAAGCTTTTTTTGCAATGACTGAATTACTCTCGCCCTTTTCATGAAGGGTTACAATTGCATTTCCATCTACTGCCATAAGTAATAGTAAACTTAGACACCTTAGACTTCTGCAATATAAAATAGATGAATTAATAAATGATATTAAGCTTCATTATAAAAGAAAAGAAAAGTCTCCTAGAAACCAATTTATTTTTATATAGCAAACATCCGTGGCAACAAATATGGCGGACCCTGTAATATACAATTATTTGCAACAACGCACCAATTTTTGTGATAATGATTTTCAATAACAATAATTAATTGCTAACCCACAATATGCATTAATTGACGTCATGAAATTTACAATACAATACATTAAGCATTAATTGGTAATGTCATACCATCTGACTTGATCCCAGCCAGACCCCGCTCCCCCTCGCCCCCCCAGCCTCCACCCACGCTGGCCCCCTCCCACTTCAGCGTCCTCTAGTTTAACTGCAATGGGATACAATCCAGTGCAGTTGAGCTGGCTGCTTTCCTCGTTCAGAACGACGTGACGACTGACGATTGCCAGTCTCCAGGAGAACAAGCTATCAGCTGCATCCCGCTCCCCCTCCTTCCCCGGATACGCGCTGGAGCGTCGGGACCGCCCCCGTGGTCACGATGGCGGTCTTCTCATCTTGATCCGTCACGACGTCCCGTATACTGGGCGCGACATCTCCCTCTTCCTAAACTGCGACACCACCATGGAGGCCACAGCTATCTCCACCCCTCTTAATGGCTCCCCCCTTTGCATAATCAACATATTCATCCCTCCGGCCTTCTCTTGCCCCCCGGTAATTCCCCGAATCGCTTCGACATTGTCACTATCCCGGGTGACAGTCTAATAGTGGGCAATTTTAACGCCCATCACCCCTCTTGGTTCTCCCACACTGTAGACCAGAGAGCCGCAGCGAGAGGAACCACAGTGGGCGACGGTCATTGGCTTGACTGAGCTTGAGTAGACAGCGATACGATAGGAGGATTGATTTGTCATAGTCTCTCCTAGAATTTAATGATAGAAATTCTCAAGACGCGGTGCTGCCACATGATCTTATGATCAGGATCGAGAGTGAAAAATGTTTGAGTAAGCCACTCAAAAATTATTTCTTCAATGATCCTCTACCAGTATATTAAATGACTGCTTTGTAAATTATTCTCATATTGATACGTCATTACAATTTTTGTCGATTAATTTAAAGATGAAATATTGAGTTCCACGCACTTTCTCGGCTTGAGACTGATTTTCTTCTTGTCTTCATATCAATAGATAATGCATTTTAATGGATTCACGTTCCGCGAGCATTTCGC